ATTGTTATGATTATAAACATCACTCATTACTATAAAAATTAAAATTATATGAAAGTACACATTCAATATTAACCATACGGAAACGATAATTTTTATAATTATCACATGTTTGTTGTCCAAATAATACCTACATTATTATACAAATTTAAAGCATTTTACGTAAAAACTCTAAACAGTTTAAGTATAAATTTTTATGATTATAAGCATCACTMATTATTATAAAAATTAAAATTATATAAAAGTACACATTCAATATCACATGTTTGTTGTCCAAATAATACATTATTATACAAATTATTTACTATCTGAAAAAGAGATTTTTTTAACAAACTCGGTAGATGTACTGAGTACATCGTAATCATTACTGGCTGATGGATTCAGTTCAGGGGTTCTCAATAATAATTTATTATTTTTTTTTTTGTCGGAAATCGGAAATATAACCTGTAACGTCACAGAATTTTGACGCTTTTTATTAGAATATTACAAAATATCATTATTATAATCTTATAATATGTCAACGTCATTTTATTATATAACTCATAGTATTTCCATAATCTCTATTATTATGCATGCGCTCATTAAATATTATAATACAAAAACACAGTTATGTAATACTAGTCCCCTGACCTCCCCCACATGAAGTGTCCATCGCGTCGATGTCGCAGAGGGCGCTCCGCCGTTGCTGTCGGGCGTCGCGGTCGTAGCCGCTGGCGTATATGGACAGGGCAACCTGTTTTCCCACTAATGTATATTATACGAAAGTTCCCGACGCGACGCACTGACCAACCCCTTACCCAAGAACATCGAGACGCCGGAACGGCCTACGACCAGCCACCGACGTATACTGCCGAGCTGTCTGTTTTTCGCCACCATCGATGACCGATCTCCTGTGTTCGATTTTTGTTTCTGCTCAACGCCATTGATTCTCGCAACACGTCTCCCGGACTCAAAATTTTTGTTATTTGTTTTCACCATCGGCGAAATACCACCATGATGGGCTGAAGTGACGTCATAGGCCCGAGGCGGGCGAAGCCATCTCAAACATCATCAACTCAGTACAAGCAGTCGTCGTCAAGTATTATTTTTTCCCCAACATTCCCCTTTTTTCATTTTGATTATGTATCACCCTAGCTTTTTTTATATACTCAGATTTATGTATTTATTTATTTTTTATTTAATTTATTTATTGCCCCGGTAACCGTCCTGCGGAGCCGTGGGTCGTTTCCTTTAATACATATTAGTGTATAATGCGTCATACCGGCGTATGATTATCATTCCGTGCCGGTAACCGCTTGTCGGAGCCGTAGCATTATCTTATATATTTTTTCCCTGTATTTTATGCACTTTGTCATGTGTTAAATATTATATATTTTTTCCTTGTATTTTATGCACTTTGCCATGTGCCAAATATTATATATTTTTGAATAGCACTTGCCATGTACCTAATGTTATATTATTTTATTCATATTGTTTAAAAACCCCTTTTCTTAAAACCGTGTAAAATATAACTATATGATTACCTTATATTTTGTCACATTTTTTTATTAATATTATTTATTTTAAATTTTTTTTCCCCCAATATAAATCCTCGGCATTTATTTGCCGTTGCGTGTATCAAAGCCTATGAGCTCCACCGACTTGGCCTTCGGGTCATCACGCAGTGCGGCTCCTAGGTCACGACAGAAGTGTTCCCCTTTTGTCGTGGGTGGTTTTCGGTAGGTAAAATGCCCGAATTCTCACAAACCTTTGGCGGAAAACGGCCATGGTGATAACGGGCTAGGGTCAATTTGGCGGAAAACGGTTACGCCCGATTGAATTAATTACATACATTAAATCTATGGAGGCCCATTTATTTGGGCCAGTGATGAGGATGAGAAATGTCTATACTGTAATGAGTCATATTCAATATCAGTCGATGGATGGATTCAATGTTCCAAACGCAAATTATGGGCCCACTGCCTTTGCGCGGGCATCGATGAAAAAGATAATAATGCTTTATTAACCTGTGAATTTTGCTCTTAATTATTTTAAATATGTTAATTTTTTTATTTCATTTTTAAGTTTATCTATTTACAGAAGTATTATATCTATTATAGATTTATTAAATATAATTAAATAAAATGTAACTATTTAATAAATGTAAAAGTCGATCTGTTTTAAATTTACAAGCACTTATTATTCTTTGTCATTGCACAATTATTATTTTAAAATACATTTCTACAAATATAATATAATATATTATATTATCTATAAGCAAGTTATACAAGTTATTTAAGTGAAAACAAGTTCAAGTTGATTAATTTAATTGCATATTTAAAATGAAATAATATTTATGTTAAATAAATAATATTTTAAGGACGTTCCCATTTTGCCCCGAGTATGGGGCAAAACGGGACAAATTATACTTAAATCTATTTTGACCTTTAACACTATTAGACTTAACTGAATGTTTAAAACATGCTAACATATTAATAACCATATCCTAAAGATAACCCAGTTCAAGTTTCAAATCAATTTCACAATTTTTGAGTGGATTACAGCTTCTGATACCTTAGCGTTCCGGTTCTGCCCCACCTTCCCATAGAAACAGCATACCCTTCCTCTACAACACTACATATTTTTAAAATTGATCAAACTTAAATATTAAGCTATTTTAATACACACTTACTTTACCTACTGGTTTGTGATACGATTTTTGATTCTATTATACGTAGAATAAACTTCACAGTATCTTTGTTCAAACGAAACTTACTCAAAAACTCATCATCTCTTCATACTTTAAAATGGTCAGGTCGTTTGCGAATAATTTTAGCACGCCTAGGGAAAGCTACAAGTTCCGCTAAATGCTCAAAATCATTGTTTGCATCATCACTTTCTTCGGTATCGGAATAGTCGTCATCAAAATCCATATAGTCTCGTACATCCATAGTAAAAATATTAGTATGTAAAATATATATACTATTACCTATATAATAAAATAGCTCGTATAATCGAAAACTGAAAACAAAATTAAATAATATTGTTCGCGGCAAAATATCATAGATAATATATACATGGATAGGACATTAGGTGGTTTGGTATGTGCTCAAAGTGAATATATGTTACCACAATGGTTATGTCTGGTTAACACTTGTGTTATCCTCAATAGCCTACATTGATAATTGATTACGTCACAATTTAAAAAGTAAAAATAAATTCATTTTTTATTAGTAAAATTATATTATAGACTATAGTTATTATACTATCATTTATTCATTTGTCAATTTGTTATTACTGGTTTTTAAAAAGAATTAGTTTAGTAAATGTTAAACTAATTTTTAATTTTTCGTTTTTTTTTTTTGATTTCGCAAATTATTATCTATGTTTATACTCTGTGTTGATAACATAGTTTTATCATAAACCACTAATGTAACCACATGTAACCAGTGTGGTAACATATAACCTCTTCGGTCACATTATACCGTGTGTATTAAGTATAGGGATGTCCTATCCATGTATATATTATCTATGCAAAATATAGATAATTTTTTTGAAAAATAATCAAGAATGATGATGATATCAAAATAATCACAAAAACATAAAAATTAACAACCAATCAGATACTTTAACAGTTCATCACATTTTGTAACCAGCCGATATCGTTTGGTAAGCGTAACCGGTAATTGACGGTCAATTATAGAGTGAACTGAAATTTGTAATACTGGTTATTTCATCTTACAGACCGTTAATCACTGATCAGAGTATAACCCATGATTGTAATACTGGCCCTAAGTCTATTTTCTTCAGTATCACCGTTTTCATTACATATTACATTATTTTCAATAGTTTTAATTTCAATATTATTAATTGGGCGGTTATTCTCTTTTATGAAAGGTTCATAAAAGGATTCATCTACAACTTTATCTCCATCGGCAATTTTAGCTATGTTGAAACGATCTGTGGGAGTTATAACCGGACAATATTCAGACTTAACACCAAAATATTAATTAACAGCACATTGATGTTTACACAATTTTTCAGTAAACGCATCTGAGCGATAACAAAGTCCACTACTTGTGTCATCATAGTATATTAAACCACTTTTTTCTTCACTAGGTACAAAAACTCATCTTAACTTTCTTGAATAATCATTTCTTTTTTTAAATAAGTAGTTTTTTTAATTATTTTTTGTAGAAATAATCTGGACGATGCATTTCTATTGTCTGAAAATTCTCTTAATCTATGTTTAATTCAGGGTTGTTAATTTTACACGTTTTTAAAAAAAAAAATACAAATAAAACGTTTAAAATAAAAACCACGTTTTAAACGTTTTTTAAAGACGGATTTTTTAAAACAAAAAAAAACACGTTTTAATCATGTAAAAACCCTATAAATGATAATAGTAAATTAGGTAATGAGTTTTGTGGGATATTCATATTTTGCTAATCAAAGTTGAACACAGTATTTCGTTTCAACTAATATCTACATCGTGATTCGTGATTATTATCATAGAACAATATAATAGGTTGATGCGAAACTTGAACAGCTGATTGAGGTCTTCTTTACCTATGATCTGAACCACGATTTAACCCTTTCAGACCCAGGGTACACCATGGTGTACCTATTGTTTGATTTGATTTATTAATTGGTGGTTAGTATTATATAAATGATAGTAGCACATATTGTAAGAACAACTTACGAGGAGTTCATAAATATTGATTAAACAGCTGTACAATTAATTTTTATACTAATTTTGATAATTTTTCCAAAGAGAATGTGGTGATTACGACGTGTTATCACCACTTACGCTAGGGCTCTAGATAGACAGGTATGCTCGTCCGCCATTTTCTATCCATTGTTGTTGTTGAGCAGTGGCGGTACGGCTCTAGATACTAGATAGTAGATATACTTGTACAAGTTAATACTTGTGTATTAAATGTATGGTTTGATGTTTTATAATTTATAGTGCCTAATTAAATATTTATATTAATTTACTATAAAATACATACGAATACTGGAAAATGGGTGGTTGCTCTGCCATAAATTGCAGTCATCACTCATCAAAAGGACATCGTATGTATGTATTTCYTGCCGATRAGACGYGGCGAAAACTATGGCTCATTAATTGCAGAAGAGCAAATTGGGTTCCTGGGARAGGTGCTGCTTTATGTGAGGTAAATTTTATCAAGTTTATTTTGAGAATTTAATAGATATTATTAAAAACTGAAATTTGAACGGTCCCCACAGGCACATTTTGAAGAAAGCGAGTTTGAGCTACACAGAGCAGATGGTCGAGTAAAACTTAAACCAAATGCAGTACCAACTCTGTTTAATGTCCCGCGACCTCCTAAAAAACACAAYCCATCACCAAGAAAATCATTATATAAGGTAAATTAATCATTAAGGTATTTTCTTAAGTTTTGTGTAAGAATTAGTTATGTGTAGTACCTAATATGTAATATGTTTCTTTTGTAAATGTTTATTCTCTKTACAATTTTCTGTAGCGCCTTCCAGGGAAGGAAAAAATGAAGAGTGTTTCTTCAGAAACTATTCCTGATAAAAATCTTCAACAAGTAGTAAGTACTATTACAGCACCTATGTACAATATACCTACCTTTTTTTAAAGTTCCATAATGTATGATTCAGAGATTATTGACATTCTAATTGAAATGTATTCTACTAATGATTTCTTCTMACTGTATGCTTTTAGTTAAATTGTGTTTTTACTGATACTGGTCTAACTTACTTTTCACAATAAAAGTGCATTTGATCTGATTTCAATTATTAACATATTTTTTGAAATCATTTTCATTTAATTGTAGGTTTCCAGTTTTTTTAAGTTATATACCTTAAATATTAATACCTTATATATATATTTATATATTTTATTAATTAAATTATTCATACACTTATTTCCTACTGTTGATTTTTTTTAGGAAGCGGAAATGGAAAACATTCATAAATTAATTAACACCATGAAAGAAGAAAATACAAAATTAACAGAAGAACTCAAAACTAAAACAGATATGCTATTGAGAATTCTAGAAGAAAAAAAAACTACTGAAGAACAAGTGAACAAGCTGAAGAATTTYCTAAATGAAGACCAAATAGCAGCATTAAACAATATAAGAACACGAGAATGGTCTCCAGAGGCAATAATAAAAGGTTAGAATTTTCTATTGCCATTAATGTTTTTTTGATGAGACCATCCAATACATGTAATAATGTAGGCCTATTCAAAATTTGATTACTTAATGTATTGTTATTTGTATTTGCAGCATTGAAGTTTTGCTTTGCATTAGGGGTTCATGGATATGAGTTTTTACGAAATACCAATTATCCTTTGCCTGGGTACAGTACACTTACRCGTAGATTACGTGAACTGGAATTCAATTTTGGAATTTTCAAAGAATTGAAAATCCCACTTGCATCCAAAGTAGACAAATTGGATAAATTTTGTATCCTCAGTAGATGTATATCAATGACAGCGGAGGTATCAATAAAAATAAAATGAAGTTTAGTGGAGGTGTAACTTTGGGTCCTTCCACAGATAAAGCTGGGGAAAACAATATGAATGACACAAAAGGTAACCAATTGTTAGTAGCATTAATTCGAGGAGCTATGGAACCATGGAAACAAGTAATAGGTTGCCACATAACAAGCAATAAAACCAGTGGAACTGATTTGAAAAAATTTATTTACGAATGCATAGATTTTGCTACAGAACTTGGGCTTACAGTGGTGGCAATCACTTCAGACATGGSARGTAAAAATCRCAACTTATGGAATGAATTAAAAATATCCGTGAACAAAAATGGAGTTCGCTTGAACAAATTTGAGTACAAAGAAAAAGCGATCTATGTTATTGCAGATCAATGTCATTTGTTAAAGAATTTGAAATCAACTTTACTTAATGGTTATATAACAATTCCTGAATACTTTAAACTTGAAGAAAATATACCAACTCAAACGGTATCGGGWTGTTATATTAAGCAATTATGGGATAGAGAAGTAACAGAAAAAAGAGAATTGAGATTACTGCATCATCTTAAGTGAGAAGACATTTTTCCTGACAATTTTCAAAAAATGCATGTTGGAGCTGCTATTCGTTTTTTTAGTATGCAAACAGTCGCAGCAATTCAAGTAGCTGTAAAATTACAAATATTACCAGAAAATGCATTAGCGACAGCTGCTTTCATAAAATTAGTATACCAGTGGTTTGAAATGATAAATTCTAAAACAAGAAAAACGTCTATTACCAAAAAGAATCAAGTCAAGAAATATGATTTCCTGATGAAATTTATTACAACAATAAGCGATACCCAGTTTAATGGTACAGGTTAGAAGCCATTAAATACTGGTTTAATATTAACTACATTGTCAATTTGTGATGTTACTTAAGTGCTCTTAAAAAATGGTTATGATTTTATATTAACACATCGCTTCACTCAAGACGCATTAGAAAACGTATTCTCCCAAACTCGAAGACGAATAGGCRAACTTCCATCTTCTACAGATTGCTTAAATGTAATGAAAATCATAGCAGTAAGCCAGYTTGTTTCTGATGTTAAAAGAACAAATTATTGTAGTGATAGTGATTTAACTTTAGTGGAACATTGCAAGCAGTTGCATGCCACAGCAGCAGGAAAAATCAGACCAGAAATTATTCAGTTGGACCATACCTATTACTTTGATACATTTTCACTCAATTCACATATATTAGACACTGTTCCTTTACAAGAAAATTATTCAGAATTAGATTTATACTCTTTAAATCTTATTTACAATATTGGTGGAAGTACAGTCAACGCTTGCATAAAGAAATGTTGCTCATCATGTAAAATGGTATTGCTTGAAAATGGGAATGATAATGTATCAGTTTCAATAAAAARGTGGAAAATTTACAAATCATTTTTAAACATGGGTGGCTTGAAAGAGCCTWATATACTGGTAGTGCAATTATTAGTAAATTGTGAACTACAATACCAACATTTTAGAGGCCACATCATGCACAATGGTGCAGTCGATCTTGTTTCTAAAATTATAAAAGAAATAAATATTAATTTTCAGTGCCAAAGTGATAATGGATGTGATTTGAAAACATTAATTGTAAAACATTATTTCACTGTCCGTAATTATA